TTTTTGGGGCAAAACCTTTAAATATGCGAAAAATCGATTTTCATGGATTTTTTCGAAACTTTGGGCAATTTCTGCTCGTCACCGGTTGCAGCAGAAATTCTGCGGAGCGAGCAGTAATCAGCAGAAATTGCGTAGAACACGAAACCGTGCTCGGATTTAAATTTTGGAACCGGGGGGGGCTAGCGTCACGGAGCTTCTACAAAATTGATTTTTTATGTATTGTTAAAATCTTACAATCAATCCAACTTGTTTGCAATCCGTAAAAGCCGAGAAGTCGAAATCGGTTAAAGTGATTTCAATCAAATGTCCATATTCAACTTGAATCACCCATTGGCACTGTGTGTCACGAGGATAATGGTTTGGATAGTTTGGTGATGTAAATTGTCCCTCAGATTTGGTTAAAGTACCGCCACAGCCTTGCATTTCGTATTCCAAATGAAAACCACCAAATGTTTCACTATAATCGGACTTGAACCTTAGAAAAGTCAACCAATTAATAAAATTATCAATTAGACTCACGAGTGTACACAGTGATAGTAGAGATACACACTTTAGAACGACGATATGGGATGTGTTCAGTGGTTTTGGCATTAAAATTTGACAATATTTATTTGTTCGAATTAATCCGTCATTGCTGTCGCGCTCCTCAATGGTCAAATGATCGAATGTACAATCATCTGATTCGGTGCCAGCGCTTGACTCTAATTCAAAGTGTGAAAACTCAAGGAATACTCTATTTCCCATTGGTGGGATTAATTTCCATTCACAGTCGGCGTGGTGTGGATAATTTTGAGGGAAATTCGGTGTTTCTTAAATGAAATCAGAATGAATTTATCAAACATGTATTCAAAACAGTTAGGCACATTTAGTCTTCAGATCTATGTATTAGTGAGCTGTGTGTAGCGAGCAACGTAGATGTAGTTGTAATACATCAGCATAAATGTAGCAAGCTCTGTGTTACCAGTGTTCAACATTAGACAACACTGCTCAAAAGTAACTATGTGTGAGTAGCGAGGACGAAACGCATAGTATTGTGTGCCTAACTCTTTATGATTTCTTATACAAATTACCGATAGCTCCTCGTAAGTCTCGAATTTCACGCTTGCAATCTAAACAAGTATGAAAATTAATTGAATCGTTTCACTTAATAAAAATATATAAATAGTGTATATCTTCTCTTACTTGCACTGAACCTAGCTTCAAAGCCATGCCCATGATTGCTTTCATCTGTAACCATTCGAATGAAAATACTGTTTGAAGACGATTCTATATTGATGACAGTATATTCCAAGTAGTTTTGAGCCGGCATTTGGTCCATCATGAATCTAAAATGGAGGAAGGAATCGGCTCAACAAGATATTCAATCATTCCAATCTTACAAAAAATATTGACATTTATTTATAATGATTTCACTAACTGCGATATAATCATATGAACAATCCAGACTAGTTTCCATAATGAGATCGGTCACCACCAATTTAATTGTAGAACCTCGTGCCACTTGAATGCTATAATCACATTGCATATCTGCTGGGTAAGGTTGTCTGCCGAAAAAAAAACCATTTTCAATAATTCCATCAATTTTCAAGTTCAATTCCATGTTTTTGATTTTATAAATGATAACATAATGAGAAATAAATTGTGTTTCCACTCACGGATAATTTGGCGATGATATCGTACCACTTTGAGCATTTGTAAACATACCGCCACAACCTAATCGATCACAAAATATTGGAGCAGCTGTAGAAACGAATCTCAAAGTAAAAAAAAAAAACGTTGAAAGAGTACTCACCACTCCTTGCTGTGTCATAACTTATTTGGAAACCTGTGGAGATTTGAACCAATTTTAGTGGAAGCAGGCTAAGTTTCGAATAAATAAAAGCATATACCACCGTAGTGATCACTCGAATCACTTTTGAATCGTAAATACATGTGATTGCTGGATGATACGTATCTGGGTAAAATGTCTGTTCCACAAAACGTGCCAATAAGAGGGGATTTGTCTGATGCACCATTTCTATATTTAAACCGATTAACTTAGCATTCGTTCAAAAAATTTTTTTGTCAGAACATGGTCAATGAAAATAACTAAAAAGGCACAAAACCTGATTTCCAAAGAATCGTAAATACACCCAGTTCTATCTTCGAGATCAAATGCTTCGATTTTCAATTCAATTTGCTTGCCACGTGGTGCATTGATGATATAAACACAATCTTTGTTTCCTGGATAATTTTCTGGGTAGTTTGGTGAAGTCTAACCAAATGAAATATGCAATCAATTCATTTATGATTGAGCTACTGAGCACTTTTAAATTATTCAATACATTCAATTATGATTCGCACTTACGATTGTATCAGTCAATGAAAAGAAGTTGCCACCACAAACTGAAAAATGAAAAAAAAAAATGTTGATTTATCAAAGCTTATTTACAACAATAAAAAAATTATTTACAATTTCTGCCGTCGAGGAAATCATATGTAGCCACAAATCCTTCGCCAGTATCTGTTTCGTCTGATTTAAAAACCATTGTCAATGCTCTTGATGTGCTCCGGATGGCACGTGGTACTTCAGCTCCACAAAATTTTCCAAACGCAGCTGCATTGGTTCCATTGGTGACAATATCATCAAAAATTTCTACGTAATCATATTCACACCCATGACCTTCCAAATCGAATGAAGTGAATCTCAACTGAACGAGAAAACCAGGCGGCGCAATAATAAACCATCTACAATTGGCACGATGTAGATATTTACCGCTCTCTAATGATGGTGAAATGGTAACATTTGGTGTGGTTATAAATCCACCACAGTCTGAAAATAGAATTTTTAGTTTTTTTTATGTAAAAATTTCGAATTTTAGCCATTCAAACGTACTTGTGTCAATAAATGTATAAGAAGCTTTGAAGCCCTGCCCGGTATCGTAACGGTCAGTTGAGAAGATCAAATGCAAGTGATTCATTTTTGATGTGACAGGCAGTGGTTTTTCGTTGCCGCAATAAGTGCCGATTAAGGTAGCATTGCTGTCAAAGCCGTCGTAGATTCGTAACGAATCAAAGTCACAATCAGCTTCGATGTCAAAGTTTGTAAAATTCAAAATAATTGCTTTGCCGAGCGGTGCTTCAATATCGTAGATACAGTTCTTGTCCTCATCGTATGGGCTGGGATAAAAGGGAGATGTAATGATACCATTGTCATCTTGGTACTTTCCACCACAATCTAATTTGAATGTCACAAAGCGCATTTTTGATTGTATCAACAAAGTTACTTAAACTTGCGAACTTATCGCAAAACAATTTATTTTTAATGAAATGCCGAATAAATGTACCTGTTTCATATTTCAAGTGGAAACCGCCGAAATGACGCGAAGAATCTGTGCGGAAAACAACGAAAATTTCATTCGATAATGAGGAATATTGTGGAGGCAATCGACTACCGCACCATCGGCCCACTTTCGGAGCCTTATCATCGTGTCCTTCATAAATCTATTATGAAAAATCCAATAAATTCATTCAATTTGCTGCTTCTGAAGAGAAATATACATCTCATGGAATAAAAATAGTTCACTCACCTCAACATAGTCATAGCTACATGAAATGCTGCCTTCATCTCCACCTTCCAATTCGAATGATAAAAACGATATTTTAACTCTCGTTTCGCTGTTGCGTGGCAATTTAATGAGATATTTACACTCCATATCCCTTGGATATCCACCATCCTGTATGGGAGACCGAAATTCACCACTTTTTTCGTGAATGTGCCACCGCAGCCTGGAATCCCTTCGACAAGCGAATAAAACATTTGAAAACCTTTATCGGAGTCATCGGCATCCGAATGGAAATGAAGAGTCAATTCATTTGATGGACTTGTATATGGGTCCGTATGTGTTGTGTTGCAGAATTTCTCCAATAAACTTCCCTCGGTTGATAATCCATCATAAATAGCCAAATAGTCATACTAGCAGTTTTCATGAGCTTCCAGTTGTAGTTGTAAGAAATGCAATTGAATTCGATTGCTTGGTGGTGCACTCAATTTCCATATACAATCCCTGTTCGGCGGATAGCTACCAGGCCAACCTGGAGATTCAATTCTTCCATGACTTTGAATTGATATTTCTCCACCGCACGCTTGTGAAATTGAAAAAAAAATCATTCTTCAAGTTGTCATCAGAATAATATCTTCTGAAGGAAAAATGAATACCTGGATCGATGCTATTCCACGTCAACTCAAAACCATTGTGTGCTGAACTGTTTTGCGATCTAAACCATAAGTAAAGTGCATTTTGAGTTGAAATTATATTACCGCCATTTGGCAATGCGGAACCACAAAGTCTATAAAAAAAATCCAATTTTGAACATTTCAACCGAATATTTGATATTTTATGAATTACCTTCCAATGATGTGATCACCAGATGTTGGACCATCGTGGATCTAAAAAAAACAAATATTTGAACTTATCTAAAATATCCTCGTTTCGAAAACGCCTACCTGAAGCCAATCATGACATTCCGAACGTGATGTTCCCACATTGAATTTAGTGAAAGTGATGTTCAAAACTTTGGTTTCATTGGTTCGGATGAGCCAACCACAATTAGTATTTTGTGCATGTATGTCTGATAGAGGATACTTTAGACTTCCACTGAATCGGCTGTATACACCGCCGCAAGAGCGTACTTGCCGTCGGCAATTCCGACCTGTTCTACCGGTTGGACATGTGCAGCGATACTGAGTTTGACTAATTTTGGTGCATGTTCCGCCGTGGCAAGGATTTGGCTCACAAACATTCAGATCGTGTTCACATTGTGGTAGCACCGTTCCAGGTGGGCACTTACATAGATAGCCAAATGTTCCATTATTGGTGCATGTGCCCCCGTTTTTGCATGGGTTTGAAGTACAACCGTCGATTGTGTTGTTTGAAGGCGTACAACCATTCGGTCCGATTCCATTGCCAGTGTAATGAGGAGGACAGATACATGTAATTGCATTGAAACTATCGACGCACTGTGCTCTTGGGTGACAGATACCTTTATTTTCACTACTGCACTGGTTTTGCTGAATTGCCGAAACATTCGTTGATATCGATGGAAGGAATTTTCCTTCAAGCGCATGCACTCGCGATTCCAATGATGACAGACGTTGTTTTATAATGTGATTTTCATCACGCAGCCTTGATAATTCGTCAGATAATAGATTTTGATCAAGACGTCGCTCAAACTCCGACAAACGAAGTGCTAAATTCGAATTTGGTACACTTGATCCATTCAATCCGCCCATTTTCATCATGTTCATTATATTCATGTCATTTATATTCAAACAACTGCTACTTCCTTTCAACCGAAACGTAATATTCCTATTGACGGCCGATTCAATCACAAAATTGCCATTTTCAGTGAGGAATTTTGGTCTGAAAATTGAAATTACATTCGAAAATGTTATTACACAATTGCAAAAGTTGTTAAATCCGATTCGGTTGACTTACTGATCGTCAAAGTATTCACTGTCACAACCTCGCCATAAGAATAACAAAAACACCAGACCGAATGATCTTGCCATTTCAGAGCATTTTTGTTGTTGCTATAATTGTAGAAAAAGCGCACAAACTTTAACTTTTCACTTGGCTGATTGAAAGCAAACAGAAGAAGAAAAGGTGGGCGTTTTTTTTTAACGAAGAAGAATTTCACTTTTTTCACATTAATTGCACAGAATTTCAACTTTATTTCTCTTTACCTTTGGAACAAAAACACGGTGAGTTCTTACATAATCAACCTTTATGATTGCACCTTAATTTCAAATTAATTAACTTATATAACGGGATGAAAATTTGTTTCAAAGCAAAACTTGGTAGAAAAAAGTCGCAAATGTAAACACACAGCAAAAGTTTAAATTAAACTAAAGGCCATGTAATCCATCCCGTCATTTATATATGGATGCAACGATAAGCATACATCATTTTACTGCCCATCAATGCAGAATAGAATCGCATTTCTAAATCCCAAATGGGCAGATCTAAATGAAAAAAAATGGGCATTTGGGGAATTTGGTATTTTTTCAATTCATTTTGAAGTAACTATAATTGATATTTATGTTTGAGACTCTATAGTCTAACTTCAATTTTTTTTTCTCGAAAATGTTGAAAAATTTCGGCTCAATGAGCATATAACATGCAGGGTCTTACCTTAGTTTCTCCATCAAAATCTCATTTTTTCACCAATTTTTGTTACAATCCAATGAGATATATATATAAGAGACTAACTCTAAACTCTAGCAAATATCCGTACATTTAGTTGAAATAGTGGAAATATCCAACAATGTTGGAGCACACGTTTTTCGGTTCTCTCAAAGATCGCGATTGCTTGCATTTGAATCGCCCGTAAATTTGTCTTAAATCGTCCACAATTTTTTTGTAAAACTTAAAATGAGCAGTTATAAAAATGTCTTGAAATAATGCGTATATAAAATGAGTCAAGATCACCTTTTTTCTCTCTTGAGAAAGATAAATTTCGAATAAAACACCCAATCTATTTTGAGATAAAACTAAATACTTTGCGTAAATTGTGCATCGAAAAATATTCCATTTCAATGGGTTGTGTACGGCATAGCACAAGGCACAAGCCACCAAGTCAAAGTGATAAATGTTTTCCATTGAAATCGACTGACTTACGTCAAACGACATGGGTGTATTCATTTGAATTTAACATGTATCGTTGTTTAATTGCCATTCGATGTTTGGCACCACATTTCTGCATGGATGCATGCACCCAATGCAAAGATCCCATCTTTTCGTATTTAAAAAAACTCTGATTTTCTAAAGACATTTTTGGCTCTAGTTTGCAAACCTACAAATTCGAAATTTGTAATTACATTCGTTTTCTCGGAAGCAAACGAACGATATTACCATGATGACGACCGTAATTGATTCATTTTTACTGGAATAAATCAATGAGAGTTAACACTTTTGCGCTTCGCTCTCTTTCTGTGTGTTGATGCGACATCAAGAGTTATTTGCTTATGCAAATCATTGACCCAGAATCATCAGCAAGTTGTGAGCATTTTTGTGTTTGCTTCGATTACTTTCTTGTAAGTGACATTTGTATGGAACATTAACACACCGAGCTGAAAAAATAGAACAAAAATCCAAAGTATATATCGCAAGACACACTGTGGATAAAATAAACTGTGAAACGAAACGTTGTGTACAGAAAGTATAGTTTGAGTGTGTCTATCGACGCGCGTTTGGCATGCATGTTTGTTAATACACCTGAGAAATCAATGGAGCATCGATTTTCAAGAATTTATATTTTTTCAGCATTCGTAAGTGAACGCTGCATCATCAGTGGTTATGGTAACCTAACGGTGTTCATGTCTGCGCCAAGCAGTTTATCTCTGTGTGACAATCATTTCGCCAGTGCATTCGAAATTAATGGTTGAATGAGAGAGAGCGTGAAAGTCTGGAAGGGATAACAACTTAATTAGCAAGAGTCGAATGTTTTCTACTTCAAAAAATACATATATGTTGGCTGTGTGTGTGTATCAAGAACATTTCAAGTAACACCATTTGCCCGCAGAGATTGTAAATCAACCGGCACGTTTCATTCGTGGAAATGGAACTTTGCGTTTTGTGTGTGTGTATGTGTGTGTTGTTCACAATGCGCCTGGAGATATCTGTTTCTATTAAAATTCCGAATAAAAACCATTGACATGGTCGATCGACATGGTTAGTTTTAACATAAAATTACCGAGTATACGTTCAAGTGTTCACATTCGATAGCGAACAAATTTATTTGCTTCATCTCGCTCTCACTGGGTTTCATTGAATAGTTTTCCGAGTATTTTTTTTTCTGTCTTGTTGTTCATTCCGTTTTTTTTCCTGTTCAATCTATGTGTGTGCCGGCTTTTGGTCGAATGAAAATTAACAAGATAAATGTTTTTTGTCGGTAAAAAGATATCATAGCTGAAAAAAAAAACCAGGGTATCACTTAGAGTTACATGTTAGTGCAGAACAAATAATTGGATTTCGGTGAGTTTTTTGTGCGAAAAAAGCGGTGCTGGGCTGTCGTTGAGCTGTCTGCATTCCATCCCGTTCATTTATGCTATTCGCAGTCGGAGTTCATTTTGTGAATCAAAGACCGGAAAAAAATCGCTATATTTCACACAGTGCAGTTTCATTAGCCAATTTTAGTGAACTTATTCTATCTCGAGCGCGCAAGCAGATAAAAAGTGATACAGTGCACACTGCACAGACACACACATACACATTTAGATAAATTAGGTTGGACAACATCGAAAAAGTGGACGAGCAGTACAACGAAAGGAAAAAAACACAAGCGAACCATGCAGAAAATTCGAGTTAAACTGTTTTGCAAATTTATTATCATTTTGTGTTGGATTGGATGCGGTATGTGTGACGATGCTCAAGTTCCAGGGAATTCCATTTTTAACCAATCCACCGTGGTTAATCAAACACGCCAGGCAAAATGTAAGTGCGCTTTACAACCACACAATACAAATGCAAATATTTATTACAGATTTTTTTCCACTATTTTTTTTTCTCATTCGTTCGTTCGTTCGTTTGTTTAAATGTGACGAAATTTTTAAATGACCACTGATCAACGGAAAAAAAAACAATTGCTGGGTTGTAGGGTTTCCATTTTATACGATTGGACGATTCTTGAATACACCATGCCAAGGCCAAAATCAACTGCTCGGTACATGCGTGCTTAACGGTGAATGTCGTAGTGCTGGTGGAATTGTAGCCGGAACGTGTAGTTCACGGCAAGCAGTTTGCTGTGTTTGTAAGTGGTGCTGCGGCAACTTACCATTGAAATCATTAAGTAATTGTCCTATAAATTTCATGCACATAAATCAGATCAACAAACTTGCGCTTCGTCTACGGCTGAAAATAACACTTACTTTGTGAATCCAAACCATCCGGGCACCTTGTGGGATGGCGTCAGTCAAACGTAATTATCAATGCATTAATTCAGTTTTGTGACAGGCAAAAAGTGCGACCAAACAACCAATCAGACGGCATTTTTTTTGTTTTCTAGATGCGCGATGAGAGTGGAGCCGGCTGATAATGTGTGTCAGCTTAGAATCGATTTTCTCGATTTTTCATTAGCACCGCCAAACGGCGATGGCACATGCAACACGGACGTCATTTCAATAACAGGTTCAGCAACAAATGTACCAACGTTGTGCGGCGAAAACGCAGGCCAACATATAATCGCTGATTTTGCTGGCTCAAATCCAATAACCATTGCAATTAAAACAACATCCAGCTACACATTTGGTCGCCATTGGAACATACGTGTCGTTCAAATAAATTGCGATTCCGAATATAGAGGTAAAGTGTGACCGGTTTTAGGTGGTTTTGAAAAGTGTGATGTTCATTTTCGCTGCGACATGTTTGCACACAAATACAAAATTTTCATTCGAAAAAAATTGCGCTGACGGTGTTTTTTCCTTCTTTTTTTGTGTGGATAAATAGCACCGTCGGGTTGTTTGCAATATCATCGCAATTCAAGTGGAATAATTCGAAGTTTCAACTATGCATCGTCTCCGAATTCAATACCAAACTCAATCGGTGTGGAGGGAACACGTCAAATAGCGTCGTTAAATTATGGCATTTGTATAGCGGCTAGTGCTGGTTCATGTTCAATTACCTATTCGCCGATTTCGTCCGATCCATATTCGTTCACCATGTCCGGTGACGTGGGTGGCATTGATGCGGCTATACTCGGAAGTGCAACGTTACAACAGCAAATGTGCACAACCGACTATGTAATTATACCAAATCCAAGCCAAACTGGAATTCCGTTGTCCACTGGCAGCGACCGTTTCTGCGGGCTTGGTCTTACAGCAACGACAAGTAATTCGTGCACCATTTAATTAACATTTGCTCATCAAATAAACTAAGATACACGTTTTTTCCCTCGCAGGCAATGTTAAACCATTCGTTCTGTATGCAGTTACGGACGAAAACGAAGCGCTCGATATTGGAAATCGTGGATTTGCATTGGCCTATGCACAAAATGTATGCCCAGTAGTTTCATCAGCAGGCAAATAATCTGGATTAGCATATATGTATTAATATTAAATAAAAATGGAATTCTAATTTTTGAATGGCAATTTATTTTGGATTTTCCAATTAAATTTCAATACATTTTTTTTTCGCTTGATGAAAATTTGGCAATTGAGTACTAGTACAAAGTAACGAGGTAATTGAATTTGAACATATAATTAATTCGCTAAATCTATTAAAGGCGTCCCATCGTGACCGATGTGGTAAAAAAGGGTAAGCACAAATACATTGTGTGACACAGCAGTTGTGTTTTTTGTGCGTACGTGTCTGTGTGTGTGCGCGCGGTAAATGTCCCGGATGCACATATTATTGATCCAGAACTAAATTGTTATATTCGTTGGGCCACTTTGTGAGAATATTAAACGCATTGGGTTGAATGGAATTAAAACATGTCGAGTGAAATTTTAGAATTAGCTGAATATTGTGTATTTTGCATGTTTACACAGTAAATAAACACCAATCGACAAGTCAGCGGGATCGGAGTGTCATTTACACTGGCATTGAACGCAACTAAAATGAATTGACGCTGTGTGCGCATCGTTCCATGCAAATATTTTCGATAAACAATCGCTTGAATTTTTATCCATACCTCACCAAAAATACCCAAATGCACAGACACACACACACAGCCACACTTCAACCAACTGAATATTTTTGGCCTACCTTTTTCAAGAGCAACCGTTACATTTTCCACTTGTTATGTATGATAATTATTTTATTAACAAATAACAAAGAATGAATGGAACAAATAAATTACGAAAACAAATGAAACTCTTGCGCTTCGTAGCGCGCGCTACGATGAGTGCTGGAGAAAATTCAATTATGAGCATTAGCATCATTTCCATTCGTTGAAATATAAATTACAATGTTTTCTATTTTTGCCCATCGTTTGACAGCCTCGCATTGTTGGCGAAAAGTATTCCACGACGTGAGATTAATATGATAATTTTCGGCGGTGGATAGCATTATACCCACCATCATTCTAGGCACGATGAATGAACTTATGACTGCGGTTTCATCAATGTGAGAAATATGAGCTAGAAAATGGCCACGAGCAAAATATTAAAATGTGCCGAGTTGGTTGGTTGGTTCCATGGAAAGAGATACGATATCGCGGCTTTTTTCGAGGATTAAATGTTGTTGCAATGTCAATGAAAATACCAAGCACTGAAAGCACACAATTTCAACTCGCCGAATATTTGCAAACGTGTGCTTTGTTTTTGCCCATTGGTTCACATTCCACTTTATTTTCATTATATCATGTCATATGATTAATGTAATATCGGATGTAACCGAGTGAGAGAGTGCGCTTTATTTTCGCTGAAAATCTGTTGCCCATGATATGTATTTTGCGGGCGGTATTGTAATTGGCGAGCTATGATTTGATGATGTTGCCTGTCGATGCTATCAGTTTTCAAATTTCATTTTCAACAAAACCTTTAATCTCATTAGCCAACATCGACTCGATTTCGATCACCATTTGAAATTCAAATTAAATGCGTTCGGTTATTTGATTAGCTTATTGTAATATTTGGAACGGCCGATCGGCCAGTTGTAATGCTGATAAAAGTCAATCAAATATTTGAGCATGCCGTATATATCTAATTTTCACGCAAAACCAGAACCACCGCCGATACTTCGAAAGCTCGACCGAGTTGTAATTTTTTCCAATTATCGCTTTTGTCATTTCATTACTTTATTTGATTGTTCAAATGTTTGCGTTTGATTTTCGGTCGAGCTTTTGTTGATATTTATCGATTTCAATACCAATTAGTTTGTTCCTCTTCAAATTGTCAACTCGCATAATTGAAATTGCTCGCAGTTAGGAGCGTTCGTTTGGTGGAGGATAGCAAAAAAATGGTTTCAATTTGCCGTTAACATATTTCTCTATTTCAAATACTGTCGGAAACGGTACGGAAACGTGCCGAAGCATCGAATATGCAATTTAATCGTTGTAAATCTTACTAAACCAAATATTGGATTACTGTTGTTCCAACTAGTTCAAAGTTTTGACATAATTAAAATTGTACATCATTTACTCGCTTTCGCATAGCCTTATTGCAGATTTCGGCGATATCGAAACCAAGTTTACATTACACAATCTCCGTTCAATCTCGCCTTGTTCGGTTTATGTGTGTGTGATGCTTTAAGTTAAATTGTATTGCCATCCGCACTCTATTAATATCAAATGAACATGTCGAGCTTTATACCAGTCGATGGTGTTGATCGTATACCCAAAATAGCTTGCTCTTATAAAGCCTCAAACTATTCCCACGAATGATACTTTTATTGGAGGATCATTTCAGGGTGGTGATGGTGTTTTTCGTGGTAAATGCAACTTGCATCAAATAGCACGCTTCAAAAGGCGATGAGCTCGAGTGAATCGAGAATTCACAGCACATTCTCTGCTAAGTGAGTCATGTGCAAGTGAAACTAAAGAAACTAACGAAACCTCATTCACTCAGGTGCATTTTGTCGTGTTCGCTCTCTCAAAAAGCGATACCGAATGGAAGTTCTGCACGAACTGAGTTTCTTAAAATGTTCCCCAAGTGAATGTGTTCCACTCGCTTCGGGTGCTTTTTTTCCTACACAATTTCAAAATCAGAACAAAGACCCAATTTTCTCTCTATTCGCTGTGTCACACAACCGAAAATTATGAATAGAAGCGAATCGTATTTTGTGTGTTTGAAAACTTTTGATAACAACGAACTTTTCCAATTAACATTCGTATGAAGGGCAACGATTGGATGCAAGCGCTTGCATCGAAGAAACCTTCTATTGCAACGAAAACGTTATCACTTTTATTGGCACCGAATTCTGTGGCACAGACATGTGCTATTTGTCAAATGACTGTGTACGATTTCGTGCTACGATACATGTATCGCCGCTTAAATGTGCGGGACTTTCGTCGCGTAGAGGTTTTTCGAAAACAAGTTCATTTGCCAAAATGCACTTAATGATTTGAGCTACACAATGGATCTTCCGCCGCTATTGTTGGCATTGACAACGACTCCGCGAGTGCGAGCACTTTTCTCTGAAAACCAAATTCACGGGATTTACTTTTAACTGTAGCCATTTCCATACATCTTTTGCCATATCTGCAATTAGAACGGAATCATGTGTATGATTGCGAGTGAGCAAAGTTTTGTTGGAGACGCAAAATCGTTCATACAATATAATAATAATGAGTTTATAATATCGAACAATGAAGCAAGAGAGAGGGAGAGAGAGAGTGTAAGATAGAGAAAATTCAAATGCGGACTTGAGCGCGGTGCACACGCGTTTGTGTATGTGCATAGCAAACACGAAATATTTACACAGCATAAATCACAGCCAACAACATTATTAATCATTAAATTCAGAACAATTAATAAGATAAGTTGTTAAATGCGTCTGCTGCCGGTGGTGGATGTGTAAGTGTATACGACTATGCATGACTATATACTTTAAGCTCTGGCTCTTGTTTGAGCGTCTCTTTTTTCTTCAGAATTCTTCACATCGCGAATTTGTCAAGTATGTCGAGTGTGCAATTACGTTGTTTCACACAATTACTATGGATCTTTTTCACTTGAACGTTCCGAACGCACTTGCTCATTTCAATTTTGCTAAACAGAAAACACTTACATCCACTTCTGATCTCTGACGCTTGAAATAATTTAAATGTATTGTCATTATTATTGCATAGTATTAACCATGGTGAACAATAGCGTTTTACTCTCATCCAGAGTATGTTTTTTTTTAGCAAGAAGATAACTAACCCAAGTAGTTGTTATGTAAATATATTCAAGCATCTTGTTCTTCATCGCAGGAGAATAACAATATCGCTCGTTATGAGAGGAGCTCTTTCTTTTTCATTCAACAAATTGTACCAAGTGTGCACTTCTACGCTATCGATATTATCAGCTAATTGGTCGGGATGACAATCGCTTTGGTGGCACGCTGTTGAAAAAGCGACTTAATATAGAGATTTTTTTTACTCAGTCATATCGTACTCACAACAACATTTCCCCGGAACGAAATACCTTGTAAGCATATATAAGCATTAAGCGGTGCTTACTCACAACGCTGCTTTGATATCAAACACTCAATTATTATTATCAAACTAGTTCAACGCCGTCATTCAAAAAATATAATCCAATAAACTTATTTCATTTGGCTTTTGGGAAATTGGTTTTATTTAATTGACAAATTTTTGATTTGACTTTGCAAACTACTCTCTGCGTGCACTCACATTAAGTGCCAATACAAACACCTGCATCATCACAACAAGCAAACTACGAATGGAATTGCGAATAAAAAAAGCCATTTGACCGTGGGAAAAATAATGAATTTTGAAGCACTTGAACGAATGTTTTTGTTAGCCCGCAAGCCATGGCTTGGCTTGGCTTGGCTTGGCTTGGCTCCGGTGTCACCTTTTTCAAATGGTTTGCCAATTTTTGATGGAATCAAATCCCCCAGAGAAAGTTTGCGCCACTTGTACTTGTTTCACACCATTAAAAAAAACGTTCGGGTGACTCAAATTAATTCTTTTATTGCGAAGGAATTAAAAATGAAAAAAAGAGTGGCTTCCATCAAAGTTGGCTTCAACTTGACCCGAATCGATCGAGTTTACACACAGACGAATGGTGTGACCTAAAATATGGAAATAGAGATCAGATTAGATTATTTTGGGAAAATCAAGGACAAAATGTTGAATGATTTCAAATCGAGTTAGGAAAAAACATTTTTCTTTTCCTATTTTTATATCTCCAAAAATGAATTATATTTTCATCACAACCATTTTTCTCTGTGCATCCCTTTTGCGAACGTGCAGCAGCGAAAATTAGTCGAAGACTGCATTGCAGCTATCAAATGCACAAAATGGTTAAAGCGAATTGGAAAATGCAGTAAAAAACTGTATAAATGCACAACGTTTGTTTATTAAAAGTCATATTGAATTGTTGATATTTGTTCAAATTGTGAAATCAAATCAAAGTTAAACATTCAAATCGTTTGTGGCTCGTTGTTTGGACGTGACCCAGGATTTTATTGCAGATAGA